AATGAGTGGAAACGAAGGCTGGGTGAATTTTGTTTGTGTGCACACACAATGCTGGTCGCCATGCACAAGTTTAAACAGAAGGCATATTTAACTATTGGCCCTCAACAAAATTTTCAGCCAATCTGCTTTCTTACATTTATAATCACTCTCATTGGTTGGTGATTGTTTTGTACTCAGTGAGCAGCGAAAATAAATAATGGCACAGTGGCCTGCTTAAATATTATTTGTATTTTAAAAATAGCAAAGAGGCAGTCAAGCATATTTTCACTTTTTAAAACCACAAGTAAAGCTGCTAATAAGCCTGATCAAAGAGATCTCGAGAAGATGGAACTTTGCCCCTGGATCAGGACAGCAGGAGACAGAAGCAAGCAATCTTAAGTCATGACTCAAGAGCTAATTGTGGGCTCTTCTTGAAGATTAGACAGAGGGATACATTTAAATATTTTTCACTTGCAAGTGAACTAAATAAAAACTGCATAATGATGTTTTATAAAAGTTTTGTTTTGTAGATATATGTTTGTTTTATCCACGATTGACCCATATATGGCACAAAATAATTAAAGACCATTCAGAAACTTGATGCTTTTTTTGTGCTATCACTGTTTAATGACATTAAATTTCACGTTCCGGGAAAACAAAAAATGTATGGTGGATGTTGGTCACGGTAACTTTAATTTCCTGGTTTTGTTCAGAGAAATATTCATATACATATTAAGCGCTGAGTTCAACTTTATAATCAAAACTGTTTCTCATTTAAAAAGTACAACTAATGAAACTAGAAGTTCATGAGATTTCTGCTTTTTAAAATTTCTTTTGCTGGGGGGATATAGAGATTTATTAAAGTGTTCAAACCTGTTCAAACAGTCTAGATACTATTGGCCTGCTCTAATATCTTATTTAAATGTCATGGCCCAATTTTAATTAAGGTGAGATTTGAATAATAATATTGACTGTACCTCTATCTCAAGTAGCCCGCTGACATGGCAGCCTTCAGCCTGGAATATCAAGCGATCGGCTGCATATTGAACAGGTAATATTGCATTTCCAATTGGCATAATACAAGACAGGTGATCTGATGAAGGACAGTGACCATTATATTGCTCCAGGTTCTGTGCTAATCACTGATGGAAGGACGGCATCATGTTTTGCCATTTAAAAAGACAGTAATGAATTCAGACATGGTGCTTTATATTTGTGACACCCAATTAGCTTTTTATTCCTACAGAGAAGGTGTCAGTTTTATAGTATCAACATCATTAAGAGCTTTGGTTCTCCTTGTTGTTATAGTGTCCTGACATTTCAATGAGCCACCGACTGAACCCCTACACTGCGCCATAACGGCTAATTAAATCTTCTTAAGACGCCCCGTGGGTGGATACAAAAGCCCAGATAGAAGGAAGAAAGTGAGAGAAAAGAAACTTCTGGAAATGAGAGGTTGAGGAAGAGTCTTCCAGCCTGGAGGGGTTTAGTGTCAAGAAGGCAAAAGCGCAAGCAGGGGGGCTGGAGAGACTCTTCCGCTTGATGCCCACAGTCATATCCGTTCTTAGCCTTTGAGCGTATCCGCACAGCTGTCTTTGATGAAAGAGATGGCAGATGTGGACGCAGCGTAGCCTCTGAACCTCAGGGTGTATCGAGAGCCGTCCCATCATGCTTTGCTGTTATGCTAAGTAGGAGAAACTCATTCTCTTAAGAGCTCAGACAAAAGTGGGTTGCAACTGTTGAACGCATTTTGAGCAGAATTTGTGATGCAGAGATCATTATTTGAACATTTTAAAACAATATCTCACTCCAAAGGAAGCACTGTCCTTCACTTCAAATCATATTGTATGCTGCATGTGTGATTTTCTCTTTTCTGTCATTTGAAGTATACATAAAGCCAATGGGAACCAAAACTTGAAGTTCTCTTATTGACATTAAAGAAAATGTGAACTTAATCCATGCATTCATACCTGAAGATGGTTAAATGTTTCCTGTTTGAAGCAAAAACTTAAAATATTAATAAAATTAATAATTTACAGAATGATTTACAAAAAACATACACTAAAATGTAATTCTGTGTTGAAGCAGAATTAATAAAATCTTTTCAGGTATGTTAAAGGGGTGGTCCACAGTGTTTATAAGATGCAAAGCAATCTGTGCTCAAGCTTCACTTGTAGAAAATCACGTTATTTTTTCATAAATCTTACTTTGATTATATACATATACTCAACATGAAAATGCATGTCATATTTCCTAGTTCTTCTGAAAGGCCCACCCTCAAGAGGTTCTGATTGGTCAACTAACAAACAGTAATGTGCTGTGATTCTCAGATTGGCTCCACCTCACGCCACTACAAGCACATGCTTTTGTGCTGTGTAAATACTGTCACTCAGAGCAGATGTTCGCAGCATTAGCTGCCTGAGTTAGACAGAAAAATTAAGAGCACACAGCTAAACCTCACGCCTGCTCTCTAAAATAAAATCTTTCACATATTTTCAGAATAAGCATGTGCAAGGAATATAAAATGTTCTCATAACTTTTGAGAGTTAGTTATTTGAGATGTGGAATGCAGGGAAAGCAGTGCTGTAGAACAGTGACTACGATTAGTGAACAGACGGTGCAGAGCTGGTGAAGATTGTGGGTGTTTACAGGTGTTTGACTGATAAATTTGAACTTGTAGCTAAATTGTTAGCAGTGCTAAACAGCATTTTCCGCTGTTTACATCCGTTTTTACATCCTTGCTACAACATACCGTTAATGCTAGATACTGTGCATGTAGTTGATCAATTTTAACACCTAAAAGGTTGTGGCTCACAATCCACAACTTCATTAATTGGAGTTTTAACCGAATCCAGCACTGAACTGGGAGAGATTCTGGTATATGCTGGTTGTGAATGCATGTAACTGGAAACCATTGTGATCTTACTAACCTTGATGTAATTTTTTATGTATCCAAACTTTGTTCACTGTAGGCTTTGCTATGGTAACTCTGTAAAAGCCAATGTCTCCCTTTGCATTGAACTTTGAGCGTATTAAATTCAGAGATGTTGTTTACATTCAAACATCTACATTACACATCAACTGAAATTCAAAATATAATATCATAGTGGACCACCCCTTTAACAACCAGAATAATGTGAAGACACATTTCATGCCACAATAAATCTATCTTGATAATATTCTTTTAACCACTACTCGTTTATCAGGACAGTGGAACAGATTTACATATATTATTTGAAATATTTATGTAAACAGTTCTTTTTAAATATATATTATTGATTTTCTAAATTTATTTTGATGCAGACACCAAATGGGATGCTTTAATTTTTAACCAGGTTTGAAGCTTCTTGAAGTAGTACAATCATTTCTTATGGATAATATAAATACTATGGTAGCACGGTGGCACAATGGGTAGCACCAACGCAATCTAACAGCAATTCGTAACTTTTTGATTTACGGGCTAATTTGTATGAAATCGTACAATTTAGTACAATTTGCTCATCACCCAATGACGGTTGAGGTTAGGGGTGGGGTTGTGTGCCACGCCTCCTTTTTAAAATCATACATTTTCTTATGACTGAACTCGTACGAATTCGAACGAATTAGCCACTAAACTGACAAAACGTAAAATAATTACGTTTCCTCTTGAGATCAGGCTGGTAGCACTGTTGCCTCACAGCAAGGAAGTCGCTGGTTTGAGCCTCGGCTGGGTCAGTTGGCATTTCTGTGTGGAGTTTGCATGTTCGCATGTAGGTGAATTTGATTAAGCTAAATTGTCTGTAGTGTATGTGTGTGTATGTTCTGGTCCTCCAAGTTGGGGGCTGAGCATTAGGCCACCAATAGCCCCTTTCACACAGTGATACCGGTAAATATCCGGAAAATTTACGGAACGACTTTACCGGTATATACAAAAAAGCGCTGTTCACACAGGCGAGGACGTTACGAAATTTTTCCGGAAAAGAGCATTCACACATCCATTCCAAAATACCGGTAAATTCTGACATCATTCACCACAAATGAGCTTTAAACGGCTGCGCTTGTATTTGTAAACATTTGACTAAATTACAAACTCTTTTGATGATCAATATTGTAAACAACTTTCACAGGATCATATTCGCATGTCGAGATGTTCATAATATGTGCGTGCGCTCACAGGCTGTTTCATGGGCACACGCAAAGCTTGAAAGTAAACAAACAACGGTTTATCATAAGCATCTTATCGATGATTATTTGCACAGTTGGCATTAAGAAGAACATATAAACGTTATCTGACTAACTTCTAGCAGCTAAATGTGTCTGGAAAAATATTCAAAGGCTTTTATCCTCACAAACCGCGCGGACGTAAATGCGTCTGACTGTTGTAATTGGCTAAAGCAGACGTCTCACGTCAGCACGTTCTAGACGTGCACGCGCTTATTACGGGAATCTTCCTTCTGCATTCACACCGCGCAGCATTCCGGCAAATTGCCGGTAATGTTACAACTTCTCTTTCCGGAAAATAGCCAGAACGAATTTACCGGTATTTTCAAAAAGGACCTGTTCACACATACACCCTTTCCGGAAAATTGCCGGCAATTTTCCGGAAAGGTCTGTATGTGTGAAAGGGGCTAATGACTCACCTCGTAAAAATGTTATGTTATGAAACACCAACATCGTGCGGTTAAATATCAACTTCAATATAAAAATGGCCCTGTGAGTAAGTAATATATAAAGACTAAATAAAATATGACAACACAAATGTAACAGTTTTGGGTCCCACTGACTTCCATATTAAGCCCCAAATAACATTCAAAACATGAATTTAGAAACAAATGCCATAAAAAAATGTTTGATTTATCCCTTTGATCTTTCAAATCAGCAATCATTTAAGGCACTGCAGCTTTCAGTGGCTTGAAAATAAAATGACAGTTATTAGCAGGGAGGAAACGTAGGTTTGATTAGCGATGCAGATGCTTTCCAAGACAGCAGCAAGGGCTGTGTTTGCTTAACAGACATGTTAATGTAATCCATCTGTCACTCACCATAAATAACCAGTTTGAATTCAGCATGACTGGTGCCGAGGTGATTGGTGGCTTCACAGCGGTAGGTGCCGTTGTCTGTTTTGTTCAGTGACGTGAATGTGAGATCTCTTCCATCAACAATCATCCTGTCCATGTCTGGCAGCTCTCCTCCATCTTTAGTCCACAGCACAGGGTCTGGCCTGGGGAAACACTCATTTTTAGCTTCTAACAGCATAATTCAGCTTCTTTTCCATGATGCTTAATGAAGCACTCACATAAATTTTTCATATCATATCTTTTTTTTTATTAGTTTTATTCTATTGTTTAGGGGTCTCCAGAGCCATAGATGCTAACATCTAACCCTTTTTTTCATTAATATGAGAAACAGGTTTATCATATGTTTGCAGAAATTATTCTAGAAATCCATAGTAAGCTTTTGCAGCGTAAGTTAAAACAAACTTTCTTTTTGACAGAGAAAAGTTCTGAAGGTTTTGACTTCTGAAAGTTTCCATACTACAATGAGGACTTTTCTCAAAAGATTTCTTTCCTTGATCTCAAAAGATCAAGGAAAATTGGATTCCTTATATGATTTGACCCCTTTAATGCTAAAATCAATGGAAAGACAACACCACAGAGTTATAGAAAAGGCTTTGAGAATGCAAAATTCACTCAGAGTTTTCAAGTTTTTAACTTTAGCTTTATATTCAAAACAGTGTTCCACAATCTGGTTCATCAAAGTGGATGAAAGATTTTTCAAACCATTTTCTTTAGGGATACGTTTTTAGCGTCAGTTGTACCAACAGCTAAGAGCCTCTTAAGGTATAGTTGAAGCTGTTCAAAGCAGTTTCATTTCAACAGCTTCACATTTATGAGTCATAACATTAATGTGAGGATGTAGTTTTAAGCTGCTAGCCTATGGCCTACCCACAGGGCGATTTCTTATTGGTGTAGAAGATAGATACTCTACTGTATATAACACATCTTCCCAAAGCCTTTTGAAAGCATTATACTTCAGAGAGATCCTGATAAATGGTGGATGCTTACGAGGGGTTTCCTTTAGGTACACATTGCAGTTTGAGGTACTGCCCCTCCTGTGGGACGTTTGTGGATTGTCTGATCTCTACATAGGGAGCATCTGTGACAAAGAAAGAGAGACAAACAAAGAAATATTGTTTCAGACAGCAGCATCCAAGCAAAGGAATGACACTTTACAGAGATCAAAAGGTAAGGTATGTGATGTGTCGCTCAAGTTCAAACGCACCACTGCATCTCAGTAGATTGATCCAACGTCAAAGCTTCAAAGAGAAATTCTAACTGGTAAATGATTTTTGTCTGTAATCAATTTGTGTAACCTCTGCTCTATCAGCATATATCAAGGTAAAATCCTAAATGATGGTTTAAGTAACCCAATAGTCAATGAAACAAAAATGAAGGATTGTATGGCTTTATATCTGTGATGTCCAAGCTCAGTTATGGAGATTTTAGCTTCAGTTGACTTAACACAGTCTAGAAGTTTCAAGTAAGCTTAGTAAAGGGCTGTTCACACCAAGCATGATAACTATAAATATAACGATAACTCTATGTGTAGCCACACCAGCACGTTTATAGCAGATCTGACCAGTGAATCCAGCTCGTGTAATTTATATATTAAAATGAAATTTAGCAAATATAGTCAGTTTAGTGAAATACATTTTTTTTCCACCATTTTCAAAGGAGGCAACACAAAGATGGAGAAACTATACACTACATACCTGACATACTTTTATTTTTATATTTTGTAGAATGACCATGTCAATTTCTTTGAAAATTTGTATCATTTTGCCAGTGATATGACCAATTGTTTTTAAGATAGTCATTATCTTTAAATAACCTCTGAAAAGAGGGCTCAACATAAAGCAGAGAGCTTCTCCACAATGTCACATGTACCTTTAAAATTGCACAAGCCCATTTATTCATTCATTTTCTTTTTGGCTTAGTCCATTTATTATTCTGGGGTCATCACAGCGGAATGAACCGCTAGCTTGTCCATAATATTTTTTATGCAGCGGATGACCTTACAGCTGCAACCCATTAGTGGGAAACATCCATACACACTTATTCACACACATACACAACAGTCAATTTAGCTTACCTAATTTACCTATACCACATGTCTTTGGACTTGTGGGAGAAACAGGAGCACCTGGAGGAAACCCACATGAACACGGGAAGAACATGCAAACTCCATAAAGAAATGCCAACTGACCCTCGAACCAGCAACCTTCTTGCTGTGAGGCGATCGTGCTATCCACTGTGCCACCTATTTTGATGCCCTCTGCCCTATTTTTGGTTTATTAATTTTTTTTTACATTACACACTTGTAACCATCAGATGTCATCAGTGTGCTGCACTCATAGCACATCTGACCAGTGAATCCAGCTCCTGTGATCTATATCCTCCTGAGACCCCGCCCATTGACTTGTGTTCTCTGTAGTGGACATCTGTAGTGGAATTTTCTTTTTTGAGCTACTCTGTCAAGTCCTCTTGTACTGTTCAGAGGATATCATGGGCTTTCTAGTGATATGTCATTTGATTGGCTGGCATGCTAGGAACCACTTCTAACACTGCATCCAAAATGGCAGGCATACAAAAAAACATTTTATGGGAAGGAGAGAGGTATGGAAAATTTTGTTTTTAAAATCTTTTTTACTATTATTATTACATATATATTTGTTTAATAAAGTGTCAGGAACAATACATTTAGCTTTCAAAGCTGTTAACTTGTTTGTGTTTCAAAATATTATCCTTTTTTAAATGTCCACAATAGTGGACACCAGGACCATCTTAATGTCATTAATGACTGCATGTTGTAGGGGGCAGAACTAAAGCAGAGAGGATTCTTCAAGATAATAAAGGGAGACTGATTTAAAGTCTGACAATCAGACAATTACAGAATTAGAGACAATTAGACAATCAGTTTTAAATTGCTTTTATGTTAAATTTGTTTTGGATTGACATCACTTCTTTTTTATATATTTTTTGTTCAGCTTTCTTTCAAACTAAACTGTTTCAGGAATTTCAACACAAAAGGAAAAAATGGCTTTTGTTTTGTTTTGTTACATTAATATTGGAATTATTTCCTTTTAGAGCCATATCCTGTACAGTTTTTTTGTCTGAGTTTAACAGGGGCCAATCACTAATCCACACAGACACCCCCCCCCCCACCCCAACCCCCACCTCCAGCTACGCCACTGGTCCTGTGGTCCACTATAGTGAACATGCTGTAAAATTAAAAATAAAAACAATAGGTAAAAACTGTAAATTATAGAATTTTTTAATCCAAAGGAAGTAGGAAAAAAATGTCTTTGGGTCTCAGGAAGATATGCTTAAATGAAATTTTGCAATCGTAGTCAGTTAAGTGGAATAATAAATAAATTTTACCAGTATTCAAAAGAGGCAACACAAAGATGCAGAAACTCTATTAGAGACCTGAAGTACTTTTATTTTTATACTTTAAATTTTCTAGGATGTAAATTTTATTGTTAATTTCTATCATTTCGCCCATAGTATAAGCAATTGTTTTCAAGATAGTCATTATCTTTGAATAATCTATATCTTATAGTTGTGGTCTTAACTTTGCTGCTGTTTTACATTAAGCAAAGTCTTTACCTTTCTTTATACAGTTATCATGCCTTGATTAGCTGACTTGGGATTTGACCCAACCAGAAGCAGGTCTGGACATTCCTGTTCTGTCGTTCAACTGAGATGCCTTTATAATATACTTGTGGCAATTTCACATAGTTTATGGCTTGCAGATAGAAATATGGATTAGTGGAATGAGATGTTGGCTGCACTTACAGTGGACCTCCAAGACCTGCGTGGTCTCTTCGTGGGTTGCAGTCAGGGCCACGTGGTCCACTCTACAAGTGTAGGCCACACCATCATCATCCCGGTTCACGTGGAGCCGCAGAGAACTCTTCACTGTAAACGTCTTGCCACTGGCATTCACCTCTTTGGCACCTAAGAGAATCGGAGAAGAACAGCACAACAAAGATGAAACGTGTTTGTCGTGTGTTTCAGAGCTTCACGTACATTACAGTCAAAGTTACAGTGAGAACTTGAAGTATTGTGGAACGCAGGGGTTCAGAAAGATGCACCACTCCTTTTTAAAGACTTTGTTTTCAATAGAAAACTTTAGCTGTGTGAAGCCAGAGTTGAGTTGCATTCATTATTTCCACCCACTGACGCACATCGCTGTGTTTGGAATGCTCTTGAATCCTGCCTCTATCTTTTCGCACATCCAAAACTGGTGAAAGTAAAACTTGAACTCTTATCTGACTCTCTCAAAGTTAAAAATATTGATCCAATGCTTGTTTTTCGGCATTTAACAAAGCTGGATCCTCCCATGAAATGAAACGGGAGTTCCTTTTTGTAATTGTGAAAGGTTCATTCAATAATCCTCTTGGAATGTTAATTAAATTAGCCTACATTTGCTTCTATAGAATTAGTGTTGATGTATAGTGTTGCACATGAGACATCTATCAGAGTAAAACAGCTTCCTCCTTTACTCCTGCCTGAAAACTCCATTAGTCGAACAACAGATTGTGTTTTGTGTTCTTTGTTTCGATGTGCTAATGGCTTCTGCATTCATAGGCTTATGCTGCACACGCTGCTGTCTGGTAGCACTTATAATATAAAGCCAGGGCAATTAATTTGTTGCATCTCAAAGCTTAACGAATACTACAAAATTTTTCATCAAAAGGATATTATTGCATCTTTAAGAGTGTAAATTACCATTTTACAACTGTCTACCAGTTGTTCAAACAAATATACATGACATAATATGCTAATTTAATGAAACACCACAGTGAATGCGGAATCAAATGCTCTCTTTATTTTCACAGAATCACCAGACAGAGACAATGTTCTGATCTGACAAAAGCCATCACAGACTCCATTTTACTTAAGATGTGTTTTCAGTGAGTTTCCAGCCGAGATGCTTTAAAATTTCTCACTGTATTTTTAATTTAAACTCACTATATTTTCTCACTGTATTTTCATTTCATTTTCAATTTCATTTTTTTTTAGGTAAATCTAAGTGTAACATGAGTAAGCGTTATATAAATAATGGATCAGTGTAAAACAAGTAACTGAAAAGGATGTGGATGTCAACTATAATGTTTGTCATAATCCATTACTTTTGGTACTATGCAGGAAAGCCTGAATAGCTTGATTTGTTCATTTGCACCATAAATTAGCATCGTCCATTTAGGTTTAGTTTGATGTAAACCCTGCAGCCACAGGACGTCAACATGACATCACATTGACGTTTAACCCTGACGTACCTCAACATTGTGGGGATGTTGGATTTTATTTAAAAATTAAAATTGTGTTGACGTCAGAACCCAACGACAGGTCGACGTCAATGTCAAACGTCAAACCTAAAACCCACCAGATATCAATGTCCAATCATGTTAAACCGTGACGTTGTGTGGACGTTACCACTATAACATCTATCAGATGTTGGATTTTAATCACTTTTAAGGTTCAACATAACCTAAAATCAACCAAATATCAATGTAATTTCATGTCAAAATAACGTTGTCCTTAGACGATAGGCATTAAATTTTGGTCACTTGACATCATGAACTACATTTAACCTAACATTAACGTCTTATGATGTGTGCCTGCTAGGGAAATGTGTCTGTTGCCATTGGTCGACGATCTTCCTCATCTACGTCAGCAAACATAATTTTTTATTGCATCATCCTTTGTTGATTTGCGTTCATATATTCAAAGACAGAATCACAAAAAAACTTTGCTCCTTCCAAATCCGTTAGATTCAGGTCCAACCGTAAGCTATGAATCCAGACACCTTTGCCTATACAAATCATTTCATTCTTTCTCTCTTTCCATTTGCTCCCCCTCACTTTCTCTGCTCCCAGCATTACTTCTGCTATCACTGCCAAGCTGTCAATCAGCTTCCTCTGGGGGTGTCGCCACCCGCCCAGGAGCATCTGAGCATGCAGAAGATATCATTTAAACCTGCACACACACACACACACACACACACACACATGCAAAGACGAAGGTACAGTTCTATGGGTATTCTTACTCTTGGGATGCTTATGAGATGCAGGCATGAGGTTGGGGGTAAATTTTTTATTCCGGATATATGACAAACAAACAAACAGACTGTTAGTCTGTTCATAAAAGCGTTCAGATGAATAACACTTTGTATGGCTGTGAATGGAGCGAGGAAACTTTATTTGAGAGCAGGCAAACACTCCCAGCAATTAGATGCGGAAGTGGGAAGTTTGTTCCACCCCACGGTTAGAGCCTGTGAAGATTCCCAGCATGCTTTAAAAGTTTCTTTAGATCAACTTCAGTGCATGTTACAATTGGAACAAGTGGTGGTCTTCTGAAATGAAAAGGCAAAATCCCCTTGCTGTGTTTGGGATTTTCAGCCTAATTTAAATTCATCTCCATTATTTTTAATGATGTGGTTTCCTCATTACAGGCTTATGGAGGTATTATTTACATTACAATCAAGAAAACAATTTTAACAGACTATTTTAATGTACTTGGGGATAAGGTTCCAAGCCATCAATTTCAGATTACAAAATGTTATTATATATACAAATAAAACATATTAAATGTGAGTCATACAGTAAATGTTTACATACAGTATATGTTTCCAAAAAGTTTGTGAACATGTCAAATTAAAAGTTAAATTTACTTCAGCTTCGTCCGTGCTTTATCAGGGTTCACCACAGAGGAATGATTTGCTAATTATTCTTGCATATATTTTATCGGTAGATACTCTTTTTGCCACAATTCCGACTTAAGAGTATATTAACTTGTGAATCCCTAGTGGTGCGAAACACTAGAAAAAACAAAACAAAAAAAAAGTTGGGGCAGTATTGAAAACGTAAAAAAAATAAAAATAAATAAATAAATACATAAAAAGTAGTAATTTCTAAATTTACTTTGACTTGTATTTCATTGCAGAAAATACAACAATAAATGTGTTCCTTATGGTTTTTATAGTTTTTTTTTCTCTCAAAATAAACACATTCCAATTTAGGTTCTGGCAACACATTTCAAAAAAGTTGGCACGGGGTAATTCAGAACTAATAATCAGGTGAATTGGTTAAATAATGATGTGATTTGAAACAGGTGATGTCAAAAGGTGATTCTAATTATGATTTGGTACAAAAACATCCAAGAAAGGTCTAGTTCTTGAGGAGCAAAGATGAGCCATGGATCGCCAGTTTGCCAATAAATATGTGAGTAAATTGTTAAAATGTTTAAAAACAATATTCCTTAAAGAAAGATATGAACACATTTGGATATTTCCCCTTAAACAGAGCATACCAAAATGAAAAGATTCAAAAAATCTGGAGGAATATCAGTGCGTAAAGGACAAGGGCGCAAGCCTAAGTTGAACAACTGTGATATCCAATCCCTCAGGCAGCACTGCACCAAGAATCATCAGCGATATCACTACATGGGCTCAGGACTACTTTGGAAAACCATTGTCAAGTACAATATTACATAGTTACATCCACAAATGTCAGAAAAAAATTAGGAGAAATGGACGCCGTGTGCTCTGGACCAAAGAATAAAAGGATCATTCAGACTGTTACCAGCAACAAGTCCAAAAGCCAGGGTCTGTCATGGTCAAGTGCCCTTGTCAAAGGAATCCTGCACTTCTGTAATGGCACCATTAATGTTAAAACGAACATAGAGATTTTGGAGCACAATATGCTGCCATCTTTTCCAGAGATGCCGTGCATATTACAACAAGACAATGCAAAACCATATTCTGCACACATTACAATGTCCTGGCTGAGGAGGAAGAAGATACAGGTACATGACTGTCCAGCCTGCAGTCCCAACCTGTCTCCAATAGAGACTGTGTCGCACATGAAACACAATAAGCAACGAAGAACCTATACTGTTGCCCAACTTAAGACTTGTTTGCAGAAAGAATGGGACAAAATTACACCTGAAACACTTCATCACTAGATGTCTTTAGTCTCTCAATATCTTTTAAGTGTCATAAATAGGAATGCCAAAATTACAAAGTCATAAATGCTTTACTGTTCCAACAAAAACTGTTCCTGTTTTAAAATGTGTTGAAAGAACCAAAATTGGAATACATGTTTATTTAAAAACTAAAATTATAAAATTGATAAGGAACACATTAAATAAAGTTTGCTGTATTGTCTGAACATATGTCAAAGTAAATTTAGAAATCACTACTTTCTTTTTTAACTTTCTTTTTTGTATCTGCTTTAATTTAATTCCCTAAATATATTATCCCCATTCACCTACATCCTTTATTTATTCATCTGCTCATCCATTCATTCAGCTACCCTTCCATTTTGAAGAGGGGAAAAAACCCCAGCATAATAAGGGTTCGTCAGACCTGTCTACTTCTATTGTCCCTCTCAATAAGTTAGCGAGTGGGTGAGAGGAGAGATTTGCCAGCCGACAGAATTGAAATTAAGGTCAGCATGTTTTACATTAATATTTATGAAGGCAAACCAGTAATAGAAACATTATCACAGACACTCTTAACATTACACACACACGCTCACATTTAATGCCCGCAACAGCATTAGAACGGTATCTAATCTTCATTACACACACATCAGCACGTGTAATTACGCACATAGTTGGACGCAATTTAATGTGAAATATTGCTAATTTTTATCGTTAAGGTTGAGCGTTGTCCTCCTTCTGGAACCGTAGTGTTTTCCTGGAACTCTGTGATAGCTACGGCATATGGTGAGCCCAGAGAGCAGCCGAGAACAGGAAGGAATAAAACGTGGGGTGAGATTAGCATTTCATTTCAGCTGTGAGCAGTTGTGAATTCAAATGCTGTTTTCCACCTAAAAGGGAGGTATTTAGAACAACAGGAGGCACAAAGGTGTGGAGCTCATCTCCGCCGCCTCTACCCCATTTTGCAAGCCCATTAGTGAGTGCGCGCAAGAGGGATATAAAAAGAGAGA